ATGGCAAAAAGAATTCAATCACTAGTGAAATGTTTAAAAATATATATATTAAACAAAAATGTCTTTATAAAATAAAAATCTTTCACAATGCAATAAATTGCAGATCACTGAAATTTTAACTCTTTAGATGATTTCAGTTCAGTTTTTGGTTTGACAATCTTGAGACAGTTTTAAAAAAAAATACTGGCAGAATTTCTATCTGTTCTTACGCTTCTCTTTCTTATTTCGACTACTTGTTACACTGTTTAAAGATGATGAGGAGGAAGGTGCTCTTGCATGACCAGTAGCCTTGAGATGATCAAAAAGCTTATTTCGGGATGGAAATTCACTATGGCAGGTTGTACAGCTGATAAGAACATCACTCTGAGAAAAGAGAGAAAAATCCTAAGTAAAAGAATGTGGTAACACAGATATAAGTGTTTCATGTTTTAATGTCAAGGTTAAACATCAAAAAAAAATGCAAAATAAAGATGTTTAAACAAAACAGCTACCAAGATAAGTCCAACAAAGGTAAATGCTCTTAGAAATTAAACCTCATAAACAAGCACTATCAACTGCAAAGGTCCTGAGACCTTCAATGGCAAGCATCACACAACACAGACCAGATGAGTTTGTACTTTACAACTGTTCACAATGTAATACAAGTAACTTATCACCAAGGTTCTTATGTTACAAAATAATAGGAAACAGTAACTGTTCTAGGGTCAAATATTTCCAATGTTTTGTTGTTTTTTTTTTCCCGTCTTTTTGAGACAGGGTCTCCCTGTAGACCAAGCTGGCCCAGAACTCATTATGTAGACCAGGCTGGCCTTGAACTCACAGAGATCCACCTGCCTCTGTCTCCCAAATGCTGGGATTAAAGGCATGAGCCGCCATGCCCAGCATGTGTTTCTTTTTACTTAAAAGAAATGATGGGGGGCTGGAGAGATGGCTCAGAGGCTAAGAGCACTGACTGCTTGTGCAGAGGACCCAGATTCGGTTCCCAACACCCACATAGTGGCAAACACCCTTCCTTAACACCAGTTTCAGGGTATCTGATGCCCTCTTTGGACCTCCGCAGGCATTGCACAACACAGGGGCACTTACATACATGCAAGCAATACACATGTACACATAGAATAAAAATAATAAATTTTAAAAAGGTAGTTATATACACAAATTCCATGTTCACCCTGCAAAACTGATAATGGAGCCAGCATGCATGCTCTGGAGTGAAGGGCTTATTCGATACATACTGACATCTTAAGACATTAGCAGAGTCCACTAAAGAAAGGTGAGTATGGGTCTGATTTTCACCTACCACTGTTTGTGATTCAGCAGGTGCTTTGACAGATTTTTTCACATCTTTGGTTTTCTTTCCTTTGGGTTTAAGAACACTGGAAAATAAATTATTCGTATTACACAAAAGTAAGTGTCCCTTTTAGTTGACATCATGCTTCAAAAATACCCCCAAAATAAAATATGTAAGATAGGTATGGTTTATTGATTGTAATGGTTAATTTAGTTAATTTTCACATCTCAGTTTTTAAAAGCAACTTTAGACGTTAAACCAAAACTGATACAAAACTGAAGAATTTACTTAAGCCAAAGTGACACCACAAAAACATCCCTGAATATTTATACAATATATTTTTATAAAAAGCAAAGCATTTAACATTCTCTTTACGGAGACAAAAATCAATCGGCTCTAATCACAAGTAATCCATGACATGGATGTAGTTGCCCACAAGCATTAATGTCTTTCCTCTTCTTTTAAAAAAATTTTTGAGACCAGCCTTACAGTATATCCATGCTGCCGTGGAGCCCATCATGCAGCCCAGGCTGGTCTTAAATTCACAGCAATTCTCCTATCTCAGCCTCCTGAGTCCTAGGATTACTGGTGTTAGCCATCAGGACTGATTAACGACTCTTGAATCTGATCTAGTCTGTGACAAATATTTCAACAGTTCCATAGTAGAATGAGAAAAATAAAAACATAATGCATGTTTCATAAAATTAAGTTCATTCAAAATAAGAAATTTAATTTTATTCAAAATTATATCTAGGGATATGAGTAAAGTGAAACAATATATATGAAAACGTCATAAAGAAATCCATTATTGTGCTAAAGAAATGGCTTAGGTGTTGAAAGCTCAGGTTCACAATCCACCAAGAAACTCACTATATTGTACACTAACAAAAAAATAGTAATAAAATGATGTCCTCTCTCTTGATATGGTGTGTTCTTCCAGTACCCTTTAAATCAGAAAACCAGAATCCAGCCACTGCAGTCTGATTCCTCCTGCTCTGCTTGACTCCTCAACATTCTTCTACGCAATCTCTGCCAACTTTAATCTGCTTCTGCTAAGTTATACTTTCTTTATTCTTAGGGTAAAAACTAGGTGCAAATGTATTCACAGAACAGATGGAATAGATTATATGAGTGAGTCATAATGATGCTTTCAAGGGCATCAAACGTACACTGTTCTTTAAGCAGAAGCCAAGGGTCTCTATTAGGCTAAATGGCCAACACAATTAGAAGACTGTTTAGGAATATAATGCAACATTATGCACTATTCAGTCGTTCATTCCTATAATCCCAGCACTTGGGAGGCTAAGACAGGAAGACAGAGTATTAAGACTTAACTAATTTACAAAGACTCATCCACAAATACATTCATGAAAACTTCAGACAACATTCCTGGAAAACTATTATATTATAAAGATAGGTATATTTCAGAAGTTAATTATCTAGGACCTTTATTTAAAAAAATATATATATGCTTATATACTTCTGTTGTTCCTGTCATGAGCTCAGGTTGGCCTCAAACTTGCAATCCTCCACCTCAGCCTCTGAATGCTGGGCTTATAGGCACGGCCTACAACTATGCCCAGCCACCCACATACTTTTTAATGAAGCACTTCCCACAAAGTATATACAGCATTACAGAGAAGCAATGGAGGGCTCAGCAGAAAGGCCTTATTGCTGAAAAATCAGCTGGAGAGTTAGGTGGGGTGGTGCTATGTTTCAGTCCTGCCACTCTTTGGCAGCAAAGCAGTCAGGTGAATTCTAACTCCTTTTCTCACAACAGTAAAATGAGTTAACTATAATCAATGTTGCCTACTTCCAAAAATCCTTTATTCTCGCCATGTGAATATTCATATAGAAGTCATGTGGAAAGCAAATAAAAACACTTCAGTTCTAGACACAGGAGGAGGCCTTTAGGCCCACCTCTGACCCAGCACTCATATCCACTCAAGTAGCCCACAGAATCATTATGGGACAGGGCCCACGGAGCTAGACATACTGGATCCCTCCAAGTATTTAGGGATGCCATGCTTAGCTTTTCCACTTACCAGCTTTTGTCTTTAGGCAAATCACTTATCTAAGATTGTTCCTCCATTTTTAATAATTACTGAAATAAATATTAACTTTCCCTTCCAGGCTTCTACTCTCTGAAGCACTTCAAAGCTTTGATAATACTAGTATGATTCCTTATTTTCCCTTTTCTGCTGGTAGAGATCCCTACTGTATATGTCGATCACCTGTTGGCCTGATTCATATATAGCACAAACATCTTACATCTATAAGTACACCTTTCTGCCCACTACTGAAGTTCCAGTCTTGAGTTCTTGCCAACTCACTCTCTCACTTAACTGGCATACAAAGTATTTTTATGGTCCTAGGATGACAGAAACCTGAAGCTACTTAATGTTCATATCTTTACTAAAGGATTAAGAAATTCTCTATTCCAGAGGAAAGGAGGAAGATGGAGACAAGATAAAGAAGGGAAGGAGAAGAAGGGACATTATAAGCTCTCCCTAGAGACTCTTACCCTAGCCCACTAACAAGGCCTTGGGCAACACCAGGACTTCAAAGCTTCTTTGAGCAGAAGATGCCTTGATGCTGACCTGCCCTGACAGTACCTTGAGGCTGAACACAGCATGAAGATTTGGTTAGTGAGGATTCAAGGGAGTGCAGTGGGGAATCAGGCTCAGCAACATCCTTGTTCCCTCAGGACTGTAAAGGACAAAGTAAGAATTCCAGCAGGAAATGAGACTGGAACTGGACCACATGTTGCTGAACTGTGAGCACTTTCTTCTAGAATTCTCTTTCCAACATGCCTCATCCGTGTATGTTTATATGTCTGTGTGTACATGTGTACATATACTTGCAGTTTACATCTAACTTAGGTGTGGAAAGGAAGTTTCAGTTGACATATCCTTGATGACCTTATTATCAATTACTAAATAGCTAAGAGTTGGGGGGAGAAGGGTGGAAATGATATAAATACAGTACTCATGCACACAAAAAAAGATGATATGCACTTCATTTTACCTTTGAGCTTCACTTTTTGGACCATCACTGGCTTCGATGGTCTCTGTAACACAGATATTTTCTTGAGGACTATCCTCTGGTTCTTTGGCATTGTCTTCATTTAAGTTAATGTCTTTTGGATCAGCCTTGACTCTTTCTTCAGTTACTTTTTCATTGAAATTGTCATCATAATTCTAGAGAATACATATGATATTATAAAACAAATCTAGCCACCATATGGAGGATGGCTAGAAAGATGGCTCAGAAGTTACGCGCACTCGTTTCTCCTTCAGAGGACCTGTGGGTTTGGTTCCCAACACCCACATGGTGGCTGATAGCTGTCTATAACTCCAGTTCCAGGGGATCTCATGCCCTCTTCTGGCTTCTGCACAGTATATACGGCACTGCACATAGATAATACACATACATTCATCATACATTCATACATGCAGGCAAAACACTCATACACATAAAATTTTAAATAAATCTTTAAAACAAATCTAAGAATAATCACATCTTATCTGTGTGTATGCACATACATGTATAGTTTGCTGTGTATGTGTGTATAGTGAGTATATGAATGCACATGTGGAGGCCAGAAGTAGACAGTGGGTGTCTTCCACTGTCACTCTCTACCTTTTTGTAAAAAATTTTACTTATTATTTTTATTTTATGAGTATGAGTACATGTATGTAAGTACACCTGTGTCACGCAATGCCCACAGAGTTCAGAAGAGGGCGTCGATTCCCTGGAACTAGAGTTACGGACAGTTGTTAGCGCCATGTGGGTGTTGAACACCGAACCTGAGTCCTCTTGCAAGAGCAGCCAGTGCTCTTAACTAATGCTGAGCCATCTCTCCAGCCCTACTCCCTACTTTTTTAAGACAGGGTCTCCCACTGAACCTAAGCACTCACTATCGGCTAAGCTGGCTTGCCAGCAAGCACCAAGGATCCGCTTTTCTTTGCCCTCCCAATGTGGGTTACAGATATGTACAGCTCAGCTTTTTTATCCTCTGTAATGTAGGTACTGGAGATCCAAACTCAGGTCTTCATACTTGTGCAGCAGTCACACTACCAATCGAGGCATCACCTCAGTTCCTATCTAATAATGGCTTATGTTATGCTGTCAAATAGATACAATAAAGTAATGATGTCCCACAAACTCCAGTAGTAGAACTTAGGAAATACAAAAGGAGAAGCAGTTAAGAATAGATGCTTAGGGGGCTGCAGAGATGGCTCAGCAGTTAAGAGTACTGGATGCTCTTGTAGAGGAACCAGGTTGAATTCCTAGCATCCATGTGGTGGCTAACAACTGTCTGTAGCTACAGTTCCAGGGGATCTGATGCCCTCTTCTGACTTTCATTGTATGACATGGCTGCACTTACACATATGCAGGCAATATACTCATACACGTAAAATAAAAATAATAAATTTTTTTTTAATAGTTGTTTTTAAATTAGACACTGTGGAATACACCTCTAATCCCAACACTTGGAAGGATGAGACAAGAGGATTGCAAATTCAAGGCCAGCCTAGGATACAAAGTTTAAGGCCTACCTAGGGTACAAAGTTTAAGGCCAGCTTGGGATACAGGATGCTATATCAAAATAAATAAATAATCCCCCAAATGCTCATTACAGAGATATTAGAGAAAAACTGTAATAAATGAGTGGATGAATATATGAAGAAAACTTATACTTCTAAAGATATTCATTCAAGGGGGCTGGAGAGATGGCTCAGTGGTTAAGAACACTGGTTGTTCTTGCAGAGACCCAGGTTCGAATCCCAGCACCCACATGGCGGCTAACAACTGCCCATAACTCCAGTCCCAGAGGATCCAACAGCCTCTTCTGACCTCCGTGGGCATTGCACGACATGGGTGAATTTACCTACATGCAGGCAATACATGCATACACATAAAATAATAAAATTTTAAAAAAAGATATTCATTCAATTATGTGAAAAAATACAAAAATGGAAGGGAAAAATTATACATGCAGTCTAAGCACAATTTAATTCGTTATTAAGTAATCACTATGGGAGAATTAAAAATGATATTTATACTTCTATATTTCAATTAGTAAGTATGAGAAACTATTACTTTTATAGTTAGGATAAACAAGGAAGCCCCATATACAGGTCTGGCAAACATGCCTATACTAAGTGCAACTTTCTGTTTTATTCTGAGTAAAAACTTGCCATGTTTACTCAAATTCACGTACATTCTCTCTCTGAACCTGTTTTCCTCCTGAACTATTTGAAAGTAAGCAACAAGCAGTTAAGAATCTTTGCTGTGTACTTTCTAAGAGGAAAACCTATCTCTGAGAGATCCATATTGTTTCAAGTCTTACATTAAGGTCATTGATCCATTTTGAATGGAGTTTTTTACATTGTGATAAGATTATTACATACAAAATTATTCTTTAAAAATAAAAGATAAATGACTAGTCAAATAAACATACAAATACAGTAACAACCTCCAGAGTTTCTTATGTCCAGATTTAAATTACTAACTTGATGATGAAAAGTCCTGGCATCAGATATATCCACATTTTTAAAATAATGGTACAAGTTAATTCCTATCAAGCAAAATTTTCAAATATACAACAGTGAATAAATTAGTTACATGCATACAAGGGGGAAGAAAGCACTGAAACATGCAAATATTTTCATTTCCTTTTAAACAATTTTATGGGAAGTGGCTCAGAGTTTTAAGAGTGCTTACTGCATAATTATAAGGCCCTGAGTTTAGATTCCAGAACCCACAGAACAATGTGGACACTGTCTCATGTGCATATATAACCCTAGTACTCTGTGGGGTAAAGACAACAGAATCACTGGGATGCACTGGAGGTCAGCCTACCCAGAAAATACAGCTCCAGATTTAGTGAGACTCTGGCTCAAAGGACTAAGGCAGAAAGTGATAGAAGGGAAAACTCAGCACCACCTTCCTCTGGCCTTGCCATGTGTGTGTAGGCACATATATTTGTACACACATGTACATATATCACACTCACATCACACTCATCTATATATTCACACACAAAAAAAATAAAATTTTACAATCAACATAAAATAATGAAGTTTCTCTCAATACAGATGATACTGAAATAGCAAATGCACTGCAAATTCATAGTGTATTCAATATTAATAAAACCTTTCAACATACCTGTGCTGATTTCTGTTTCTTTTTCTTCTGCTTTTTAGAAAGTCTAAAAATAAATGTAAACCAAAATGTCAACTATTTGACCTTGTGAAAATTTATTAAGTGAAAATAACAAATATTGAAATAATGGTAAATAAATACTAAAAATATTTAATATACAGCATCAAAAGGATAAGAAAATGCTGAGCTTATCATTTTTGGAAAAGAGTGGATAAATTGAGAGCAACTTATCAATTGCATAAGAATGAAAATGCTCTCAGTATAGTCATAATATACTCTAAATGAATACCAGACATAAGGTCTTTACCCATTTCAATATTGTAAGGGTCTATTAACTAGAAGAGATACAGAAAATACTAGGGCAAAAACTTCTTGGGATAAAACACATTTCAATGTAATCTCTGATGTGATAAATATGTTCAGAGGCATTTAATACTGAAAATTACTTTTGCTTTGGTGCATCTTCCATTTCTCCTTCAGAATTGGCATTCAATAGATTTTCATCTGTTTGAGCTACTGAAAAATGTTCTTCTTCCTCCTCCAACTGTTGTTTCAACAAGGCGACCATTTCCCGATGCTTCTTGGACTTCTCGTGATTCTTCATGCTGAAAGACAAGCTGATGTGAGTGGCTGCCCTGGAGAACACTACCGTGCCCTGGTCCATCGAGGGATGATGGCAACCAAGCTGAACTGCCAAGTGTGGTGATTTTGTATAGAGCAACAGAAACCTGTCAGGACTACTAGGTATCCCTCACCCTACAAGAGCACGAGAAGCTTTCTTCCCAAAATCCAGCATTCCCCTCATTCAACTTCCTTTCTATTTATATGTTTATTTGCTTGCCAAATTTTATTTTATTTTTATTTTGATTCAGTTCTCAAAATTACAGCCTTTACTACAGTTTCCTTTTAATCATTAAGTATGTACTTCGTGCTTCTATGTTCCAGGCTTCTAAGGATCTCCAGAAATTGTAAGGCACTCTAGTTATAAGATATCCTAACTATAAAAGGAGGACCCCAAGGCCTAGAGAAATGGTGATGTCAGGCCTCAGAGAGCAAGTGGAGTTCACTTCCTTTTGCTTTTTCAACAGTTATTCTCACTTTATTCAAAACATGTATCTAAAAACTCTGTACAAAACTCAATAGGCTATATCTAATTTAGCTGGTGTACAAAAAGCTGAAAACCATTTCACAAAACAGAGGAAACAACATTAAACTGTAGAGTCAGAAAAAGAATTGGGACATCGCTCAGCAGTAGAGTGGCTGACCACCATGCATGAGGCCTTTGGTTTGATCTTCCGTACCACAAAAACAGTAAGAATCAAAACAAAACAAAAATCAAAAGTAGGAAACTTTTTTTTCCTTGTTTTAGTAGCTACTTTTCTTTCTAAAATTTTTATTAGAACAAACTCCCTTGGAGAAATCAAGGCAACCTGAGCTAGAAAACAAATGCTCCAAATGATAGGGACATGTTAAAAAGAGAAGGGAACTGGTGTGCAGGAACTCTCACTAAGCATGCTCACTGGGAAAATGTGATCGTGAACAGGATAGTAAAAAATTGTAAACTGGGCTGGAGAGTTGGCTCAATGGTTAAGAGCTCTAGTTGCTCTTACAGAGGACCTGAGTTTGGTTCCCAGCATCCACATGGTGGCTCATAACCATCCATAGCTCCAGTTCCAGGGGGATCTGACACCCTCTTCTGGCCTCTGCAGTCATTGCACACACAGATGCACTTACATATAAGCAGACAAAACATGCACACACATAAAATAAAATAATAAAATAGAAAGACTACTGGGTGTGGTAGCACATGCTTTCAATCCCATCACTTGGGAGGCAGAGACAGGCAGATTTCTGTAAGTTCAGTTAAACCCTGTCTCAAAAAAAAAAAAAAACGAAAGAAACAACAAAAAAAATGTTATGTTTTAGTGTGCTTCTCTATTGCTGTGATAAAACACTCTGACCAAAAACAACTTGGGGAAAAAGGGGTTTACTGTATTTTACACTTCCAAGTAACAGTCCATCTTTGAGGAAAGTCAGACAGGAACTCAGGGCAGGAACCTAGACAAAGGAATTGAAGCACAGAACACAGAGGAACACTGCTTACTAGCTTGGTCCTCTGGCCTGTGTTTGGCCTGTTATATAATCCAGGATCACCTGCTGACAGGTGGCAGGGCCACAGTAGCTGGGCCCTCCCACATCACTCAACAATCAAGAAAATGCCTCAGAGACATGCCCACAGGCCAATCCCATAGAGGAAATTCCTCAACTGAGGCTCCCTCTTCCCAGGTGTGTCAACTTGACAACTGAAGCCAATTATGACAAAAGATAAATGGGGAAAGAGGAGGACGTTGCTTTATGAGGCCCAAAGGGAGCAGAAAAACATCATCCAGCCACCACCATAAAGACTGGTAGGTCAGTATCCCTTTTCCAAAAACCTAAGATCAGAGGGGTTTAAATTTCATATTTGGGAATATTTATGCATATACAATGAGATATTTTGGATATGAGAAACAGTCCTAAACACAATTCATTTATGCTTCACATACGGCTTAAACACATTGCCTGAAGGTAACTTTATCTGGACAATTCTTAGACTAAGTCAAGATGCTTACCAACAATGAGAGGGACTTTGTGTGCTTCCAAATCTGGAACCCTCAAAAAACAACATAGTTGTATAGTATCCCACATATGGATGTATATCTGTACTTAATCATGAACAAAAGGGCAACCCAGAATGAAAAACAGTCTAAAAACAACCAAGTTGTTTTAAGGGACTAGTATATTTCCAAAATACATGCCATAAAAGACAAGATCAAGATCAAGAAATTATTCCAAACTAAACAGAAAATTTCAATTATATGGTCCTAGAATGGATTCTGTACTCAAGTGGGAAAACGTAGAACATTAACTACAGGTTGACTGACAGAACTGGAATATGGGCAATAAATTAGGTGAGAGTGCCTTATAAATGCTAAAGATTTCCTTAAGATGACAAACATATTCTCATTCTTGAAAAACTATACAGAGGTATTTAGAAATAAAGTAGCATCATATATGTAACTTTCAAATTATTCAAGAAAAAAATTCTGTGTGTTTGTTCATGTACACATGCGTGCATGTGTATGTGTGTGTGTGCATGTGCATACGTGTGTGAAGAGTAAGCAAGCATGCAAACAGACAACGTGTGAGTAGCAGGCCATTGAGTACACTGTATTTATCTTGGCAACTTTTCTTTAGTAATTATTTCTAACTCAAAAATAAATCTTAAACTCTGTTGCTTTTTATTTTCTTGCTCCTAACGTTTCTCCCACTCCTCTTAGCCCCACCATCTGCCCTTTGGGGTCACCCAGCACTGTTCTTTCTGACTTCACACATCCCCATCTCATCCTTTGCTTTCCTTTCTTCTGGACTGCAGTTGTTCTGCTGTTTCCTGGTAACTCAGCTCTCCTTTTCTCCTGTTTAAAATGATATCCTTTTACTCTATCTCTCTTCATCATTGTCCCACAAGATGAAATGCTTCCACTCAGCAAACATACTTTTAGCAAGACAAATTTAAATTAGCTAAGCTGACAGCAACCACCTGCAGGGAACCCAATGGTTAGAAGTAAGTTTGGTACCAATAGTGCAGAGATAATTAGATTTGGTCTCATCTCCTCACCCGTGTAACTATGCTACCTTAACAAAACAAGTGGATTTCCTTCTGGAAATAGTACATGAATACTGGAAAATGTTAATGGGTACACCAGGCTTAACTGCACAAATCCCTCATCCTACACGGGGGCACCAGCAATCAAAGTGTTCCAACCATATTCTCTTCAACACTCACAAAATGTTAACCTTGCCTCAAAATAAAAAGTTAGTTCAAATATGGCACACTTACGCCTTTTCTGTCCTAAATGATTTGTCACAAGCTGGGCAGTAAAGGTCATCATAACGCTCAGCCTCCTCAGCCTCATCGCTGTCTTTACCTGTGAGGGTAAAGACTGTATGGTAAGAATCTAAAAATGTGAAGTATGCATCTTAATAAGCATCTCAAGTTGTACACAAATTAGAAATGAAAATATTAACATTTCATTACAGAAGAAAGTGTTGTTGGGATTTGAGTTGGCCTTTTAAGAACAGCATGCATTTGAAGGAACAATTCAAATTAATTACTTTATCCTTCAAGGTTTTTTTATATCTACTCAGAAAATCCTTGAATCCCAGATGTAAGCCAAGTGTAAAACATCAAATGCCACTTTAATAATTCTACTATAAGGTTTTTTCAACTCAGTACATTTTTGTTTTTTAAGGTTTTGTTGTTTGGTAGGTTTACCTCCAGAAAGATTTGGTCCTAGCATACAACTGTGATCTACTCTAATATAGTTAAGATTAGTTCATAGCATCCCATTATTATCAGACAGGTCAGGAAAAAGCATAGTACCATGTAAAGTTTAGCCCTGTTTTCACAGACCTTCTTCATAAGCTGAGGATTCATTACAATAGAATAACTGTTATCACCACAATCTATAATGCCTAAGTGACTAATAAACGGAACTCTACATATTTCTAATATTCTTTTAAAGAAATAAGCTATTTGGGATTTATTTTTATATCAATAAAGAGTTCAGTGTTTCTTTCATATTCTACATTTTGGTTCTTTGTATATTAATATGATACTGAAAGACATGCTTACTGAAATAACCAAAACATAACCTATGTCCTATGGTTGATGTTAATACAGCAGATTGCCTTACCCACAAAGGATGCCTGAGACCTCGGACAGTACAGAACCCTGTAAATTAAAGCCTTTTCCATCTTAACTACACATGTATAAAACGTAGCCATAACTTTACAGTTTGGGGTCGGACAGCAAAACTGGCATGGATTTCTTCACAATTCCATGGTTATATTCAAGGACATCTTAGCAACTTCAGCACATGATCTTTTCCTTTCTTTTTAAAACCTCAAGAACTTTCACCTTTCCATTTAGAGAAAGCACTTTATGGCTTCTCTGGGGCATATTCTACGTCAGTCTCCTTACTCTTGGACTTTAAGGAGCTCATTTCCAAGAAGAGTTACTTGACCACATGAAAACATTACAAACAATCTGATAATCTGGATGGCAAAGTGATCAATAGCATCCAGTGACTAGCAGGTAGCTAGACAGTGTAGATACTCTGACAGAATGGTACAATGCAAGATTTCATCACACTGTAAGACCAGAGCACATTTCAAAAGATGAATTATTAGTCAGGCGTGGTGGAGCATGCTTTTAATCCCAACACTAAGGAGATAGGCAGATCTCTATGAGATCGAGGCTAGCTAGGGCTATAGGAAAATCCTTTCTCAAAAAAAAAAGGAATTGTTTCTGAAATATTCCATTTAATATTCTCAGACCTCAGTTAACTAAAAGTAACTCAAAGCGCAGAAAGTGATGGATGTATATGTATATGTATATGTTCAATATTTCACATGCATGTAATCATTGGATTTAAAGTAAAAACTCCGGATGTCAAAGTGCTCACAAGTTCTCTGGCATATTCTATAACTTCTCAACACTCCTACTTTCCTCATCAGATAAATGAAGTCCATTCCATTAGCAAAACCTACGTTTAAGGTGTATTTTGTGAATATTAAGTAAGATCTTCTATATAAAAGAACTATAAATTATAAAACTGTAACTAGGTCATTTCATATTTAGAGAGTACTTCATAATTTTCAAAGCACATACTGCTTGACTCATTAGTAAGTCATTCATTTCCTAATCATTTTGAATAAAGCTGTCACTGTTTAAGTTACTAGTCTGAAATTTTAGTCTCTAGGTAAGTAAAATTAAGAAACTATATTTAGACCAGTTTCATCAAAGAAACAGCCAGGACTGGTAAGGAATATCAGGATTACAAGTAGTTCCCCAAAGGGCTAAATTTCACTTTTTTAAAGTACGCATCTGAGGCCAGGCGTGGTGGTGCACGCCTTTGATCCCAACACTTGGGAGGCAGAGATACCATCTCTGTGAGTTCAAGATAAGAACAGCCTGGTCGACATAGTGATTTCCAGGCCAGCTGGGGCTACAGGGAGACCCTGTCTCAAAAAGACCAAAACAAAACAAAACAAAAGTACATATTTGCACTCTAATAATAGACAGGCAGAAAAAAACACTCTGACACCTCAAGAACTTTTTTTAAAATTGTGTGAGGGGAGTCACATGCATACCATCCAGACTCTGTACAGTACCTACTGTCCTAGAAAATATATTATAACTTAACCTAGCACTTAACTGAAATCTCTTTAAAATATTTTGTTATTTTTATTTTATGTGTATGAGTGTATTGCTTGCATGCATGTAAGTGCACCCATGTTTTGCAATACCCTCAGAGGTCAAAGGAGGACATCAGATCCCCTGAAATTGGAGTTACAGACAGTTGTTAGCAGCCATGTGGGTGCCAGGAACTGAACCCGGTCGTCTGCAAGAGCAGATGGTGCTCTTAGCTGCTGAACCATCTTTCCAGCCCGAGAAAGCAGCTAAGTTTTTTGCTGTTTTTTTGGGGGGGTCTCCCTGTGGCCCCAAATGGCCTGGAGCTCACTATGTAGACCAGGCTCACACCACCATGCCCTGGCCAGCTTGAATTCTCTTTAATAGCCAGTCCCACTGTGAAAATGCCCACCTGTCACTACATCTATGAAGCCAGAAGCAGTCACTGAGAACATGATAGAAAAGGCTTTATTATTACTTCACCTGAATTAGACTACACCAATAGACTGCCTTTGTGAGGCACATACAATAGTGTTTAAATTTTATTTGCCACATTAAAAGCTCAGATGTCTAGCTTATTAAAAACAAAACAACAAAATCAAAATTCTGGCATTATCATGGCAACAAGAACTGAAGTCAGGTGCTCTCTGGATTTTCATTTGCTCTTCCCTTCCGTATTATCTTACATGGGCCCTGAAGTCATCTGATAGATCCTTACACACAATAACATTTATTTTCCAAAACTTCTTAATGTATCAAGAAAAATTACCATCCACTCCATCTTTGGGCTCCTTTTCCTCCATTTCATTTTCATCTGATCCATCTCCAAACTCCTTTTCATAGCGTGCCTCCATCTCCTGGAGCTCCTTCTCCAAATCGGCCACAGTCATCCAACTCTGCTCTCTGTACTGCTCCGCCAGTCTAGACACAAACAACAGCCTCACTCTCACTTCCACTGAAAAGCGTGCCTCTGGAGGGCGCCTACTTACTTCTCAGGTCTAAAACTAGACATACAAGAGCATCTTCCTCCCAAGTTGCCAATGTTTATAAACCTAAAATGTGTGCTAGCTAGAACTGAGCAAGGCCACTAACGCCTGCTACCTGCTTGTTTTTAACTGGTTTACTAAATAATAAGATTTGAAATTACAGCTATCCAGTGACTAGGCAGCAGGTAGCTATATTGTGTAGATAATTCATGTAACTCTAAGTCATAAATGCACAAATAAATGTTACTGTGTGCAAGGATCTATACTCACAAAGAGCCCTAAGTGGGCGCTGACTCTAAGAAAAGTATAAGACAAGTGTGGAGTTGGGGAGGTTTCATGATGCTATTGCTGTGCTGTAAGGGGAGCTGTGCATCAGTACTCTGGATACGAATGTTCCATCCACATCCTTAGTTTGCAAATACGACTGAAGGGCAATGTGATGGCAACATAGTGAGTTCCAGGACAGCTGGGGCTACAGGGAGACCCTGCTTCAAAAAAAAAAGAAAGAAGGAAAAAAAGATTAAATACTGAGGACACAAAGTTCTTACAGTAACTTAACAAAATCATACAAAATTAAATGAACTGAGTAACTCAAGAGTACCAAGAGGCAGTCCTGCACTACAGTTAAAAGCAGGGTTCTGGAGCTGACAGACAGCTCAGCAGATGAGGCACTTGTCGGGCCTGAGGACCTGAAGCCTGCCTCGTGAAAGAAGAGAACTGACTCCTCAAAGTTGCCTTCTGACCTCCACACATGTACCATATGGCATGCACACCCCACCTTACAAATACAAGATAAATAAAAGTTAATTTAAAAAAAATACCACAGAGAACTAGAGTAGATCTCTTGGGCCCCCTTCTCAGAAGCTCTGTGACTATCATTTCCTCATAAGAATGAGAAAACAAATTTTTTTCAGGAAAGCACTTGAAACAGAGCCTCATACAGAGTAAGAATTCGTACATCAGTTACTGTCAAACTGATGGAAGGAAAACATCCTAATCAAAATTGATATACCAGATGAAGAAATATTACCTAAGGCCAGGATTTAAAGATGTAAAAAGACAAAAACTATCCTATCTACATGCTCTCTGTGCCATGACAAGTGGATTTGATGTGGAAGGTCCATGCTGCCTCCCTCCTGACACCCCCTCTGGCCCCCACCTCAGCAGAAAAGGAACTAGCTTCACAGCCCATACTTGGCCTGCTTCAGCTTCTGCTGCCGCTGCATCTCCTCTGCCTTTCTCGCCTTCTCGGCATTTTGCTCCTCCACCAGTTTCCGATGAGCCTGCACTCTCTTGTCCCTTTTACGAATGAAAGCCACCAGCTGGCGCACCAGCTCATTCTTCTCTTTCCTTGCTTTGTCTCGGATTTTTTTGTTTTCCTTTTCCATGGCTCGTTTTTCCCAGCGGTTTGAGGCTTGCCGTGTATCATATTCTTCCTTCCAAGCAAAATTCTTTTGTGTGCAGAAACTCTGCCAATAAGCATAGAAGGGGTGCACTACCTAGTGATGAAGAAAATGGGTGCAATTCTAGTGTTGTTACTTAAATTTCTTCAGAAAGGCAGTAAATAATAAGGATTAAAATATAATCTAGTTTCTTTATTCATATATATGAATATATATCTGTATCTATATCTATCTATCCAACCATCCATCCATCTATCTATAAGATTACTTTGTTTTTTCTTTTGCAGTGCTGGGGATTGAACCCAGGGCCTGTGCATGCTAGACAAATGTTCTGCCACTAAGCCATAATCCTAACCCCTAATATATGTAACATCACTGTTAATCAATGGAGAAAACATTCCTTTAAGACTTTCTAGGTAATACATTCTTCAAAACAGATTTAATGGGGAAAGAAAATAGTCTTACTGATCACAAAAAGAAACAACTACAGCCCACAGACAAAAGTCAAGGAGGGTAGGGAATATACTACTAGCTGCATGCTCCTTCCCTCCGGAAGTACAAGAGTAAGCAAGCAAGGAAGACAGGACAGGGGACAAGACTAGAATTGACTTCTCTTAAAACCATGAACACAGTAGTGAATGTTAATTGTAAGATGCAATGCAGTTTTGTTTTACCATATCATAGTCGCTCTGGGAGTCTCCAAAAGTTGGGAAATCCTCAATATCTTCCTCTAACACACACTCTAGTTCTTCTTTTGCAATCAATTCGAAAACATTACGATACACTGTATAAAAACCCTAAAAAAAAATTTCAGAAACACAGGTTCTTAATATTTTCATAGTCTAACCACAGAATAAAATGTGATATGAAAAATTTTACTATTAAGAATTACAGGATCCAGCTTTCATTACCTAACGCATCTTTCCTTTCAGTGGGAGATTTATATGTGCTGACAGCTTAAACATGAAAGTGACATATGTTCAGTTTTCAAAATGGACATTGCTTTACTTTCTATTATAACTTTAAGAAATCTCTTTGTATTTAAAAAAAAAGTTAACTATTTATAAAAAATTAAGAGCTCACCTATCTTACCTTTTCATCATCTCCATAACCAGAATAACAGGTAACAGTGAAATAGTGAAGCAAATCTAAGCTGTCATCTTGATATTCTCCATCAAGCCCTCCTTTAAGTAAGGCCTCTCTATGATTATCATACCTAAAAGAAATTAAAAAATAAAAAGGAACTATTGGTGATGGCTGAAGAGACAAGAATTCAAAAGGATTCCTTTCTCTGAATCAGCCAAAACATTCGTGTACATTTCAGCATGTCCAACCCACAGCCACACAATTTTATGGAAATTTGAAAACAACAACAACAAGAAAAAACTTAAGAGGTCTTTCAAGAACTGAAGAGTAAACCCATGCCTCCAACTTCTAATACCTTATACAATATTGCTCACATAATAGGGAAGTTAGGGGAGCCAAAAAGCTCAGGCATTTTTAAGGGAAAAAGCATTGCTAAGTGCAACAAGTATTGAACAGAGTTTGCTCCACAGATGAATTGTATATACATCTGTGATCTGGGAATTTACCAACATGTTCAAGAAAAACTCACTTATTTATGTTCATGAAACTTAATCTGTGAGCTTCATATACATACTCCACAATAACACTTCATGAGAACTCTGTAAAAGTAGTTATTATCATCCTTGTTTGATACAACAGGAAATTTAAGTTCAGTGATGCTAAATACTTGCTTGTCACAGTCATGAAGTCTGTGAACAGCAAAATCAGAATTCAAAATCGGGTCCCCTGCACGCAAAGCCAGGCTCCTCACCACCAAAGGGTACCAGCTCCAGGTAACAGGAGCATGACCAAGCAGGAAGCTTAAATAAAAAGCTAAGAGAGTCCATGGAAGAAGCAGACAACTTAAGACCTAGAGAACTAGAGAAAAGAAAGTCAGGGAAGAATCCCAAAGCTGTAAAAGGGAGGCAAGTTCTTCGCTTTGATTTTGGAGAAGGCATCTACCTCTGTAACCCAAGGTGGCCTGGAACTCCCTCCCTATATAGTAGCCCAGGTAATTCTCCTGGGTGCTGGGACTACAAGCCTGTATAAACATGCCTGGTTTTGGAAGCACTTCAAAGGTTAGAGCACCGAAGTCCATGGGGAGAGAAAATTTAAGATCGTCTATGTGTTTTAGAAGAGTTTTATAAGAATTTCCTTTTTATCCCTTCTCTTTTGTGAGCCAGGTATGCTATACAGTATTTAAAACAGATGACTTCCACAGTAGCACAAAAACACCTGCTCTTTTTAACAGTAGGATTTTAGACTAACATATCTGGGTTTAAAATCTATTTATAGGGGCTGGAGAGACGGTTCACTGTCTAAGAACATTTGCTGTTCTTCTAGAGGACCAGGGTTCAAATTCCAGCACCCACATGGCAGCTAACCATCTGAAACTCCAGTTCCAAGGGATTCAACACCCTGACCTCTGTGAGCATTTCATGGCATGGGTGCACTTACATACATGCATACAATACACTCATACACATAAAATAAAAATAAATATTTTTTAAAACTTTACAGTGAAAAGTTAATTGAGAATTGTAAACTCAGAACTTCAAACACAAATTTCTGTCATACAAAAGAAATTAAATTATAAGATCATCTTTGGTAAAAGTTATCTGTCGAATCTGCAGAATAGCAAAATACCTTCATGTACTCTACAGAAATTTATTATAATTCTTACATTATAATAATTAAAATAAGAATTGTTCCTAAAAATAAGTCAACTTTCTTCCTGACTAAAGGAGCCCTACTCAAAGAGAAATCACTTGAAGTATCTAAATTAAAGCTATGTAACATCACCAAACTTGCTTCATCATGGATAAAACAAGACAGTTAGAAAATCATTTCTAAAGTTCCTTCCTACCCACATACTGCACTTTACATAACAAAGAGGTGACAGATGCTTCAGAACACTCCCAAAACCATCTAGTATATTAAATTGTAAAAGAAACCAACAATCCCATATGGACAATTCCTGCTAGCAAAATAAGTGAGGATGAGAAGGATAACACAGTGCTCACCATGCTCTTTCCTGAGGGTCACTCAACACATCATAGGCTGCTTGGATTAATTTAAACTGCTCAGCTGCTTCTGCGGCATTATCCAGATTTTTATCTGTTAAAATAAAGTCACAGAAATTCAGTCACTGAAAAGGTAGATGGCAAAGGGGGAAAAGAGTATTGCTCCCAAGCCTAATGACGTAAGTTCAATCCTAAGATTCATGGTAGAAGAGAATGGACTCTTATAAGTTGTCCTCTGTTCTCCACATGCCCTCCAAAGGGCATGATGCCTGTATACCATCCCCCAACACATAAAATAAACGTAATAGAAAAAAAATTAATAGTGGGAACTGGTGAGATGGCTCATTAGGTAAAGGTGCCAGCTGCCAAGCTGATCTGACTTCACCTGGGGACCCACATGATAGAGAGAACCAACTCCCTCAAGTTCCTCTGATCACATCCATACGTCCACACCCTGTGGCACATGCATTCATACACAAAACATAAGCATATGATAAAAAATTAAAATATATATACATATATATGTAGATAGATGATAGATAGATGATAGATAGATAGATAGATAGATAGATCAGATGAAGACTCTAAAGGGGGCTCCTTCCTTCACAAATTCCACAAAAAAAGATATACAAAATGAAGAACAACTGGGAGAAAAACTACTTCTGGATAACAGCTGATTTTCAGGTGTCACAAGCACCCTAGGCCTAATGCATCACTGAACAATCCCAATATCCACAAAAGGAAAATACTAAATAGTACAATTTTTAGGAGCCAAATAAATATCAAATCAGTTACAGAAAGCTGTTATTTATCCAGGAATAGATTATGTTTAGTATCCCATTGCCTTAAAGTTTTTTTTTTTACTGTCTACCAAAGTAAATTTGAATACACACACACACACACACACACACACACACACACACACACACACGCATACACACAATTCTTTCCTTAGCTGTGCCTCTATATGGAACTGAGAAAGCATAGTTGCCTCCAAGTGACAGCTAGCAGTGATCCCTGGCTTTACCTTTGTACTGGGCCCTCCTTTATCAGCAGGGCTAGTCCAAACAGACAATAGTGGGGACAGAAAGAAAGCTACATGTGGTGTGTGGTGTGATATGAAACTGGATCTCATCTCCCATTCTGGGCTCTTGCTCTCTCCTTGGAGCACTCACTCTATGATAGCCAGCTGCCACAGTATGAGGAACTCAGACAGCTTAAAGAGAAGCTCATGGAGGGCTGGAGAGATGGCTCAGTGGTTAGGAGCACTGACTGCTCTTGCAGAGGACCCAGGTTCAATTCCCAAAGCCCACGTGGCAGCTACAAACCGTCCTTAACTCCAGTTCCAGGGGAATCTGAAACTCTCTTTTGACCTCCTGTGCACTGCACGACACAGGTGCACTTACTTACATGCAGGCAATATACTCATACACATAAAATAAAATATCAAAAAAAGAGAGAAGCTTATTGGGTGAAGAGGGAACAGAGACCTGCCAACCATGTGCCTGAGCCTGGAAGCAAGTCTTGCCAGATGATGAGCAGGTTCTGCCAGATGATGCTGAGGTACCCTCAAGCCCCGCCTCCCAGTCAAGCCACTCCCACATTCTGAGCCTCAGAACCTGGAGAGTATACATAATGAGCTGATGCATGTTTTTGTTGTTTGCTATTTCAAACCCTAAGGCCTTGGTAATTTGTTCCATCATAAGTAACTAATACATTCAGAAAGTAAAATATTTTGAATCTAATATGGAGCACACCCAAGTTCTTCAAGCTCCTACTACTCAATATCTGTCTTCTAAAAGATTAGAAGATATGATGACCGAATGTGTTCCTCCAAATACTGCAGCCTCACTGTACGGATAAATGGTTCTTGAGGGCATTTTGCCTCCTCTTAAATGCCATCACCTCTTCCCAAAACCTGCAGGTGGCTTTCCGCTGAATATCTAACAATACTTTCCCAAGTTTAGCAGTCTGCCATGGCTCCTTTGCAAAGATGCTTCAGATACAATTTTTGACTCCTAGTCCCATGGAAGTAAAAGTAGTCTTATATTATCTGAAAATAATCTCCACCCCAGCAGCTACATCTTCCACAAGAAATAACACAACATGAATCTAAATCCCCTTCCAGGGTGCAGTATCTGAAAACAGCCAGTTTTAGCCAATCAGATGTAAACTCAAAATGACTAAGTGAAGCTTCCCAGGAAAGACACTGGTCTCCTGGTGAAAAGGTATGGGCTGTATTGTGTGCACGTAACCCATCTGCTGTCCAAGCCAGGCTTCAATGCTTGCAGGCAGACCCAACTCTTAACCACAAGGATTGCAGCAGACTGTAATTCATACTCAGTATTTACTCTCCCCTTCTCCCAGTTAATAATCAAATCCTGACTTTACGGTGGGCACTTGGCCCTTGCTTCAAAATAAAGACTCCATTTCTTAGCCTTCCTTAAAGCTTACATGAATGACTAAGCTCTGGTTAACAAAACATGAAAATATTCTATGTTGGGTTTTACGGTTCTTCCTTAAAAGGCAGTTGGCCCAAATTCCCATCCCTTCTTTATCCTTCCCCCATTCTGTGGTTAGTATCTTGAGATGCCACTCTGGATGATGGGTGAGGAGCCATCTGAGAGCTTCTAGGCAGGAAGTACAAAGAGACCATAGAAAATTGCTATCCTAGGCTGCACCTGCCCATCTCTGATCAGCTACACAAGAAAGCAATTCTGCCTCTGAGTCTTCAGTGCTTACATCTGATGCAAGGGTTCAAATCATAAGGTAAGGATGACAAGAGCAGGTCTCTGATGGCTTCATCAAGCACCTAGACCTACCAGGACTGGCCACCTCTGGATTATCTTACTAGGTGAGAAAACAAAACTACTTTTTGCTTTAGCTACAAGATCCAGCTTCCAGCCACATGCAATTATACAATCCTCACAGAGCTTCAAGGTGAAGTCCACTTGAAAAGTGCTACAATTTCTGTCTTTACCATTTATAAACAGATTCAAGAAGTGGATGAGGACCAATCCCTGGGATGCTCTGGTATTTTCTGGACAGTTTGGTATTTTCTAGGACTCATCTCAACATCTGTCAAGACCACTACAAGGGGGCTTGTAAACAACTACAGCATCACCTACCCTTTTGGTTTTTTTTTGTTTTTTTTAAACCTACTAGGAATCAGCCTTCTAGGAAAATGGGAGAAACTTTTAAGTTTCAAAATTTTCTATCAGACAAAACAGTACAGTTCAAATTAAATGACGTAGAATTTTTTTTTTTTTTTTTTTTAAAGCTGGCAACTGAATCTTCTTACCTAAAACAAAAAAAGGTACTTGTTGTGTACAGGGTGGGTGTTTTATTGCTGGTGAGTGCATATGAGTGTGTGTGTGTTTCCTTCTCCCAGTACTGTACCTTGTCCAATTCTCCCCATTCTTTTTCTCCCCAAAGAAGTTTGGTGAAGCTAAGGCTTTTAAACACTGCACCTTGCTCAGGGATTCCAAACGTGGTAACAGGCTCCTCAGTTCCAGTCTTGCCTGCTTCCCACAAAGCAATCTACCACTATAGCAAGCAAGAAATTTGAAAAACGGGCATTTAGCATTCCCTTGTTTCCAGCTCCTCAACAACTTCCCAAAATCCTTAGGCTACAATTCCACTCCAGTTTATTTCTTACATCCTTCAAGACCGGCTCCCACTTACCTGACCATGCTGCATGCTCACCTCTCTCATGCTCCCTCCTCCTCTCTCCACCCCTGCTGCCACTCATCACTGTGGTCTCCACCTAGGCACTAGGTCTTCTCAGCTGAAGTTCCTGGGTGGTTTTTCCCATCTTTCCCACCCATACACTTAGAGCTAGCCCAGGTAAGTACATGGACTCATCAGCACTTGAATCTGCCCTCAAGGAGTCCTTCTCTTTGAAAGACAGAATTGACGTTCTTTGTTTTCCTTCCTGGGTCTCCACAGAATGCATGCCCAACCAGGGCAAGCACCTCTCCCTGCTGTGTTCACCTGGCAAAATCACTCAGGAAACAGTCACAGGGTGAATAATGGAAGGCTGATTGTCTGAAGCAAGGCTTAGTCCCAGAGATAACTAACACAATGCCCCATTGCATAGAACGATTAAACATTTATTGAGTGAAAGATTTATGAGCCAGCAAAGCAAGCATACTGAAATTATATTATTTTTACATTATTTATTTATTTTGGCTATTCCTTCTGACTTTCTGCTATAATGAGCATTTAGCTCACTTCTAGCCTTTCAATAAATGTGTGTGTTCCTCTGTTCATAATTATTATTATACTAATACCTATGTTTCTTGTTCTATCAATTATAGACATTACTTTCCAATTCTGGGTCTCCAGTCTTTCCTCCAGCTCTTCCCCCAAACTATTCTGCAGCCTTCCCATAAACACTGGCCTCCATCAAAGCATCCTGTGGGCATCTTTTGCCCACTACTGGGCTCTTCCCAAGAGGACACAGTCAAGCCCCTCTAAGGAGGTGAAGCCTCAGTACCTCTCAGTACACACTAGCAACTCCTTCCCTGAATCACTGGGAGACTTAGTAGCTGTTCTATTACTCCAAAATCAATCACACTATTTTGTATGAGTAAATCTTTACGTGTATAAAGCATGTTTTCCTACTGAGACTCTGAGAGCCCTCTTTTGGAATTTCAAAATCTACATATTACACACTCATGTAGCTACCTGCATATATTGGACAGATATGAGGAAAACTGGGTTTAAAGAGCTGTTTGTATTGTATTATATATAAATTAAGACTCTGGGATGAACAACTAAAATGAAAATATGAGAAAATGGGTAAAACTAACCATTAAGAGAATACATGTGGTACAATCCTGGCCTGTGTGACACAGGATAATAATCTCAGTTATTCCGAGGCAGGAGGATCACAAGTTCAAAGCCTGCCTGGGCAACACAAAATGAAACGTTAAAACACCGGCTGGGGTTCGCTCAGGGGTACGGTGCTTGGCTAGCACATGTGCAACACTGGGTTCAATTCCCAGTACCAAGAAGGGGTAAGGGCCTCATTAGAATTCTCAAAGATAGATTCAACCACTTGTTTCTTTAGTATGGAAGACCAGATTAGTTCCTAAAGTCACAGAGACCTTCCCGGGAAGCAAACTTGTAAGTAAACATACAAGCTTCACTGGGCAATACACTTCGTTAGAACTCATCATCTAAAAACTCATGTCTAAAGTGAGGTGCTGTTCAGCTACTCCAGTCTGCGAAAACTAAAAGCAGCAGGCGTGCACCCTAGTTTAAAAGCTACTTTACGAAACCCCGTGGTCTGCATTTCGGGGAGAAAGGCGCCATGTGGGCGGCAGAAGCAGCCGGATCCGCCGCGGGCTCCGGGCTCGGGGAGACTGGGCAGTAGCAGCCGCAGGTGAGGCGCGGCGGCCGAGTTCCCTCCCCACGGGGCCCGGGTCCCCACCTCCACAGCAGATCCGGCCCTCAGAGGCAGGCGAGGCTCGGGCTGCGGCAGCGCGTCCCGCGAGGTCACTAGCCGGCCCGGCCCGCCAGGCCCGGCGGCGGGAGGGTGGCGGCCCGACCGGCTTCTCCGCCCTCCTCACCCGCGCGGCTGAGGCCCGGCCCGGGGCGGCAGGCGTCGCCCACCGGAGGTCACCTACCCGGGTGCCATCTCAGGGCCAGCTTCCGATAGGCCTTCTTGAGCTCCTCCTCGCTGGCGTCGCGCCGCACCCCCAGCGCCTCGTAGTGACACTTCATGGCGGGGCCGGGGCCCGGGGCGGGGCCGACACCCGGGCCCGGGCCGAAGTGGCCGCGGCGCTGGCTGTCCTCTCCTCCGGCGGGAGCCGGGCTCCCGCAGCCCGC